AACCAGTATTCAGATGAGTGGTCAAAAACTGACAAAAGTTGGAAAAACAAAACAAGAAGGAACTAACAGGCAAGTAAAAGGCTAATGACTTTGAATGTTTCAAGGAGGAACAAAAAATTGTAAAAACATGAAGTAGATTTTGATACAAATAAAAGAACCGAGATCATGTAATTAACATAAATTCAATTAGAAAAATATACAAATATACTAGAAAAAGTAAATTATTGCTAAAGTGGGTAGATTCATAAATATGTACATAGATGACAGTACAGGCAAACACTTCACAGGAAAAATGGCGAAAGAAAACATCACACTAGAGCATCGGAGGAAATGATGAACAGTGCTAGCGTGGTGAACCTGGAGGTCTACAGGGGTGTTCAAGCTTATGGCATCTAGGACGTCCAGACAAGCCTGATAAACAAACAAGGTGTGTCTATTGTGGAATGTTGATAACTAATGAAACAAAGGTCAACTCAACAAAATCAAAAATGTACAAGCAAAATGTGGAGGTTAACTTCGGCTGACACACAAAACAAATCAACAGGAAAAAGTCAAATAAATCTTAAACAACAGGGAAATCAAATCCTTTCGGACTTGCAACATAACAAGTGAAAGCAGTTTTAAATATTGCACAAAAGTGAAATGATACATAACAGAACACAAGTGAGAGAGACCGCAAGAGTACACTAAAGGAGAGTTACACAGTGGTAACTACAGGACAAATGGGTGAACCTAACAGGATATTACATTACTGCCACTACTAACTGCTATTTAGGTATCATGACTTATGCATCTACAGCATTGAACATTGAATTTATTACAGAATGATAAAGAACTGTAAATTGTTAAACACATAGCAGTACTCAACTTTGAAAATGTAGCTAATCTACAGAAAAATTAGTAAAGATTTAATTAATAGATCTACAGCAAAGACGGCATAAAACTAAAGATGAGAGATCTACAAAACACATCAGCATATGAGAAAAGATTTAATAGATCTACAGCAAAGACAGCATATAACTAAAGATGAGAGATCTACAAAATACATCAGCATATGAAAACAGATTTAATAGATAAAAGATCTACAAAAGAAAATTCTATGACTAAAGCATTCAAAAAGTTAAGAGCTGAACATTTATTACAGTGGAGTGGTAAAGAATTGTACAGATTTAATATAAAAGAGAATGATTAAATTGTTCAGCTATGTACAGCACAGAACATTATACCACTGTGAAAACTGAAGGGTGTATCAGACACGTGAAAACTGAAGGGGGTACCAGAAATGTGAAAACAGAGTATATCACACAGACACGTGAAAACTGAAGGGGGTATCATACAGACACGTGACAACTGAAGGGTATATCATACAGACACGTGAAAACTGAAGGGTGTATCATACAGACACGTGACAACTGAAGGGTATATCATACAGACACGTGACAACTGAAGGGGGGTATAATACAGACACGTGACAACTGAAGGGTATATCATACAGACACGTGAAAACTGAAGGGTGTATCATACAGACACGTGACAACTGAAGGGTATATCATACAGACACGTGACAACTGAAGGGGGGTATAATACAGACACGTGACAACTGAAGGGTATATCATACAGACACGTGAAAACTGAAGGGTGTATCATACAGACACATGACAACTGACAGGGGAGGGTCTAAGATAAAAATTGTAAAGTGCATACTCAAAGACAAATAACTACAAAAAGTGCAAAGGAAAATAACCAAAAAAGTCAAAGTAAGCATGGCAAAGCCACTCAGAAGGAACTGGCTTTTTCAGCTAATGTAAAGGAAAACAACAAACATAAAAATACCCATGCAAATCAACAAGCTCTCAACTCAAAGGAAAACAACTAACAGAAAGTAATGAAAATTATTGAGTTTGGGAGGAAACATCTAACAGAAAGTAAGCATAGAAAATAATGTTTAAAGGGAAAGAGCTGTCACAAAGCAATCATAATTAAATTAATGAGCTAAAAGGGAAATTGCATGCACAAAGTAGACATAACAAAAATTGAAGAGCTCATAAGAACTGCTGTCACGAAGAAAGCATAACAAAAATTAACGAGCTCAAATGAAAACGGTCAACACAAAGTAAGCATACATTTAGACGTGCCACTTTTCTGTCTTTCCAGATAACAGTGTTATACTGTGATATGAGAAGGCTTGAGACTCACAACCCATGGCCATGGCGAGTGTGACTAGCAAGACTTTCCAGATGATAGTGTTATACTGTGCTATGTGGAGGCATGAGACTCACTGCACATGGTGATGGCAAGTGTGACTAGCGACTAGCAAGACCTGCCAGATGATAGTGTTATACTGTGCTATGTGGAGTCATGGGACTCACACCCCATGGCCATGGTAAGTGTGACTAGCAAGACTTGCCTGTCAAGAAGTCTTCCACAATGATAGCATGGGATTTAAGGACCATTGTTGTCAACATTTGTGTTTAGTCTGTTTCTTCTCAGATGCTAAGCTCTCATCCTTTGTGCGATCATTTCTTCCTTTATTCTTGTTCCCTGCCTGTTGTGCCCCCTCCATACAACATGGTCTAGCACATGTTGTTTCCATGAGTCCAGCTCAATACCTGTATCATTCACTTGCACACATCTTTATATCTAGTAGTAAATAATTACACCTAAAAATTGGTTCACTGGGAAACATGTCTATAGCTGGCTTACAACATATACCCGGCTTAAATTAAAGTGACTTTCACAGCCTGCTCACAATTATGTTATCATACAAACTGGCACAAAAAAACACTAACCAGCCGCTAGCTCCAAAAAAAAAAAAACTAACATTCCATACTCACACAGGACTGCAAGCTACACCAGGTTGGCAAGGTTGTTTTGAGCCACATAATTAACCATTTTAGAGCATGGATGGGGTGTTCGAATTTGCCCTGTTGATCTGCTACTCCAGCTGGCCTAGCGGTTACAACATCAGGCTCTCGTGCCGAAGACCTGAGTTCGACCCCCAATGAGGTGATAAAATTTTGTTTCGTCGGAGGCAAAATTAAACATTCTTACCAGCACAGTTTGTGGCGACAACCCTAGCCAGTAGGCCCTAAATCCTCTGGTTCAAGGTCCCCTGCCTACACCACCCTAAAAAAGTGGTAACACAGGCCGCAGTTAGTGAGTGACAGATCTGCTATTCAGACTAAGATTACGGACTTCAGGATAGTCAAACTGTCATGCAGCAGCCCACATGGGGGGAGAGTGGAGAACAAATGCATGCTCTAAAAGTCACAATTCAACTATAAAATAAATAACTAGAAAATGCAGACACACAAAATTGGTCAATATTTAGAGAACAGGCTGCGGAGAGTTAACAATCACACAATATGTGACCAGGAACACACAAATATCAAACAACACATTTGAACTGGCATAATAATGAAAGCTCTCAATGTCAATCAAAAGAAGGTTTCAAAATAAAATACTTTCATATGAAACTATAGAAAAGAATACAAATTTACAAAAAAAAAATAAAATGCTTTGTGTAAGAAATATAGAACATAAATTTACAAAAATAACACTTTACTGTAAAAAAAATATATAGACTATAAATATACAGATATTTTCATCAGAAAATAGGCAGTGAAGTTAAATTTACCAACCCCCCCCCCCCCCCTCCTCCCTCCCCCATGTGATCAATGTAAAAAGAAAAAAATGTACACAAGAAAAAAAGGTTTTTCTAAACATTTACAAAATTGACAACATACATCAAGATGAGATATGGAAGCACCATTAAGAAATGACAGAAGCTGACTAGACATTGCAGTATCAGAGTTGTATACAACCAGTGAGCCATGTACAACTACAAGATACAGATTAATTTTCAAAGCTTTCAGACAGGGAAACAAGCCTTGCCCTGGAAGAAATAATATTTCCAAACAACAGCAGCAGATGCAAGCATCAACTGTATTATACCCAGCGGTAGCTCATGGACAAGCACTGCGGAACCACAACACCCCCACTATCACTGGATATTTAATCCTTGAGCCAATCTCTACTGTGGAAATGGCATGATAAAAAACAAAAATAGGGAACAACACAGCCAGATTTTCAAAGGCAAAACCATATTTTGAACTACATATACAAAATGAGGCATCTGAAACATGATCAATATACGTGAAGGGTATTTGAGTATCAGGTTTTTAGAAGCTTTCAAAAAATTAATGAATAATAAATCACTACTGGCAAATATATTTATCTGCTTCCTGTAAGCTGTCCTGTTACTGTGGTCACATTGCAGAATAAAGAACAGACCTAATTATACATCTGTGTTTTATAAATAAATAAATAAGGAACTCAATATTCCTCCAGGTTTTTTTCCCCCCATAATTAAACCAGCTTTAATCTGTTATCAAAGAATGCCTGATCATAAACTAATTACCTCTATTAGAGATTGACAAAACTAGCTCTACTGTCTCAGCTAAGACCTTTTTTCAAGTAATTCCAAGGACAAAGTTGTCTATTAAAGTTAACTTTACATAAACATATCATCATGCATAGTAAATGTTTAAGAAAGTTTAAAAAAAAAAAAGTACTGTTCTATTAATATCTTGTCAAGCAAGGGCACTTACCTTAAACTCCCCACATATTCAACATACTTAGTACTACATCAACACTGAGGTACTTTCAGTTTTTCATTATACACTAGAATAATGGTAATTCATTTTTTTTCAGAAAGAAGTTGGGTACTTTACTTCCTTATCTAGAAGATAAGTGTTTGTGTTTCACAATTCAGCAGAAACAGGCACTTTCTTTCCTTTATGTGTAGACAGAAGAACAAAACATGCATGTCCTCTTCCACTTGCCACCAACCTGAATACCTACTTCAGGTAGCTTCTCCATCCAGCTAACTAAACATACATTACCTGACTAATGTATCTCATTCATTAACAGCATATTAATTTCTAGTTAATTAACCTCTGCCTATATACCTGTCAGAAAGTCTCGCCTAAATAACATACCAGTGTGGGTTTGATCCATATGAGCTTGGTATTCAATGATTGAGGGAGTGTTTGCTGAAAACCCATAGGGGTCCAGATGTGAAGGCATTGCTGAGCTGACTGAGGTGATAGTGTTCATGGTGCTGTAAGGGTTATAGATGAGGCCTGGGTGATCGCCAGGGGGAGAAACTAGTGGTGGTGGTCCTCCGTTCATACTGGCCTGGCTGGTCACAACTTGAGAAGGTGGTGGAGGTAGTCGGGGTGCCAGGATGATCTGTGTACCCGGCCCTGGAGCTCGCATCTGGAAGGTTAGTGGCTGAGCAAGATAGCGAGCTGGATCTGTTCAATATAGAACAGCATTTATAAGTAAACGGTAGTAGCAATATAGAACAGCATTTATAAGTAAACGGTAGTAGCAATATAGAACAGCATTTATAAGTAAACGGTAGTAGCAATATAGAACAGCATTTATAAGTAAACGGTAGTAGCAATATAGAACAGCATTTATAAATAAAGGGTAGTAGTAATATAGAACAGCATTTAAAAGTAAACGGTAGTAGAAATATAGAACAGCATTTATAAGTAAACAGTAGTAGCAATATAGAACAGCATTTATAAGTAAACAGTAGTAGCAATATAGAACAGCATTTATAAATAAAGGGTAGTAGTAATATAGAACAGCATTTATAAATAAACGGTAGTAGTAATATAGAACAGCATTTATAAATAAAGGGTAGTAGTAATATAGAACAGCATTTATAAATAAACGGTAGTAGTAATATAGAACAGCATTTATAAATAAAGGGTAGTAGTAATATAGAACAGCATTTTTAAATAAACGGTAGTAGCAATATAGAACAGCATTTATAAATAAACGGTAGTAGTAATATAGAACAGCATTTATAAATAAAGGGTAGTAGTAATATAGAACAGCATTTATAAGTAAACGGTAGTAGCAATATAGAACAGCATTTATAAGTAAACAGTAGTAGCAATATAGAACAGCATTTATAAGTAAACAGTAGTAGCAATATAGAACAGCATTTATAAATAAAGGGTAGTAGTAATATAGAACAGCATTTATAAATAAACGGTAGTAGTAATATAGAACAGCATTTATAAATAAACAGTAATAGTAGTAAACAGTGATAAACCCATCTGGGTTAGCATTAGGAAATATAAGATTAATCTACAAACACACAGACCAGGCGAACTTACAATAACACGCTAGCAGAAGTGACACAGATATTTAAAACAAAACAGCCAACAATACTTTGACCAGCAGGAGCAAGTTTGGAACCTCTAGACAGATGACAATACTTTGACCAGCAGGAGCAAGTTTGGAACCTCTAGACAGATGACAATACTTTGACCAGCAGGAGCAAGTTTGGAACCTCTAGACAGATGACAATACTTTGACCAGCAGGAGCAAGTGTGGAACGTCTAGACAGATGACAATACTTTTACCAGCAGGAGCAAGTTTGGAACGTCTAGACAGATGACAATACTTTTACCAGCAGGAGCAAGTTTGGAACGTCTAGACAGATGACAATACTTTGACCAGCAGGAGCAAGTTTGGAACCTCTAGACAGATGACAATTCATTACAAGATTCTATTTCATCCTTAAATGGGTGGTTCACTTGTGTTGTAGCTTAAAAATAAGTTGTAATTGCTGTGCTTTTCAACCTAATACATCCAGTTTTAGCAAATCCTTAATTAGCTGCCTCTTATGACATGCTTGTTAGGGGACTGCGAGTCTATTCCATCTTCCAAAGACCGAGACCCCAGAACCCACATAGGGACATCAGAAATATATGGCAGGAGTTCTTTTTTGTTTCTGCACTCACTAGCAGAAAGTCCTCAGTGTTTCATGCATATCCTTTTTACAAATGACTTTTTAGTCTGCAGTCTGGCGGTTCTTCAAATGTTTTTGTTTTTTTTTTGGTAGGTGGCATAAGTCAAAAAGGAAATTAAACATAATAAGAATAGCCAAAAATATTGTCCAACAGCATGAGATAATTATAGATATCTAGACAGCGAAACAATTCACTAATAATAATGTGTCAAATGGTGTATACACTAAACCAGGGCTATATGATGAAGAAACCAGTGACTAGAATCAAGCCAAAGATGACCACCACTTCCTTGACCGGCATGGACAGGTCATCATTGCACACCTCAAGACAGGACAAAAACTAAACAAGCATATGCACAGGTTTAATCTAAGTAGTTCATCATTGTGCCCCTGTGGGCTAAGTGTGCAGACTACAGAACATGTCCTGCAAGAATAGCCCATGTACAGCCTGTTAAAAAGAGAATACTGGCCCTGTGAGTCAATGTCTCACTCAATGTTGTATGGAACTAACAAAAACGTCCCCTAACACAAGAAGAAGAATGCAGTAACCATGACAATAAAGAGGGAATTACAAGATGGAAACCTAGCATTGGAGTTGTGGATATACAGAAGAACAAAATATACTTCATGAAAACAAAACAAAAATTATAAATATAGTTCTAGAGACACATTAAGATTAAGGGCAGCTTGTCTTAGAGGTTATGAACCTAGCTTCATAGTTCTGGCATATGCGGGGGGGGGGGGGTGTCTTTCAATGGCAATTTGGAATTGCACTGATTTTGACAATGGTGTGGGCATTAAGTTGTCCACAAAGTGGCAAACTGCTGAAGAGAAACAAATGATGTGGTAAAATCATAGACAGCCTGAGAATGCTGGGACTGTTGTACACTGCCCTGTCAAGGTTATGCAACAATCTGAGGGTGAGGACTGTGAAAGAATTATTGAAATAAATTTTAAAAAAGACAAGTGAAATAGAGTTAAACTGTTTATTATCTTAATTAAAACCATCCCGCAGGAAAAGCTGAAGTCAATGAAGAGTTGAAACGCTAACAGTGCCAGCTGCAACCTGACTAAAAACCTGCCCATGTTTAAACCTCAGTGTAGAATATCCTCCAGAACCTCTACTCGAACACTGTACATCAACACTTTTGTCATCAACAAGCCAAATAAACAAACAGATAAATGCCAACAGGCAAGACAAAACAAACCATCAGTGTAGAATATCTTCCAGAACCTCTGCTCGAACACTGTACATCAACACTTTTGTCATCAACAAGCCAAATAAACAAACAGATAAATGCCAACAGGCAAGACAAAACAAACCATCAGTGTAGAATATTCTCCAGAACCTCTGCTCGAACACTGTACATCAACACTTTTGTCATTAACAAGCCAAATAAACAAACAGATAAATGCCAACAGGCAAGACAAAACAAACCATCAGTGTAGAATATTCTCCAGAACCTCTGCTCGAACACTGTACATCAACACTTTTGTCATTAACAAGCCAAATAAACAAACAGATAAATGCCAACAGGCAAGACAAAACAAACCATCAGATATAGAGTTGGGACCATTCATTGGAACCAGATGCTGGAACTGTGCCCGAGTGTGTAGAGCCATGTGACCCGGTGGAGCTGGTGGGAGGAACATGGGAAGGCCACCCAGCTGAAGGTGGCTTTCTGTGGATGCATGGTGGTAGTAAACTGTTACATTTGGGGTAGACATGAACTCCTGTCTCAGCAACAGCTGGAAATTGTTTTGATGATCACCAAGCAACAGCCAACATAGTTATTTGATTATTCTCACCCCCCTCTCTCGTCTTTTGCTTGTTGCCAATGACACTTTTGGTAAATGCAACATTAATTAAAATATGTGGCCAATGCTCAGTGATCAACATGTTTCAAATACAGATAAAATGACAAAACTGACAGATTCACCGACTGACTGGCTGGCTGGCTTCAGTGCACCATCCATTTTGTGCTGCATGCTGGACTAGATGTATAAATATTTATCACTAAAGAAGGCTGATTGATTGTCTGATTATAGATCCATTAACTAATTTACTGGATTGAATGACCTATTGTGTGCCTAATTATGGAATGTTGAATTAAAAACAGCACTCAGGACACTCCTATATGTGCTCATTCTCATTTTCAGCAGCAAGCCAAGTTCCAGTTCCGACTGCACCAGTAACTGTCTGATTGTATATCCGTCTCATCCTTCCCCTTCCCCCTGAGTGTTGAGCTTCGACCAGATCCTCTGGCAACTCCTCACAGCGTCATTCTCAGACCGTAATGATCTTTTTGCACCTCCTCACTGTTCACTAATTTCTAAAGGGCTCTTACAATATCAAGCTTGTCATACATCAATTCCGCACTAAGTGGTGCACAGCCGACAAGTCCATCTGCCTGTTCATTTCCTAACACACCAGCATGACCTGGAGAAATGATGCTAACTACCCGGGACCTCTGAAGTGATGCTTGCCACTCTGTACAAAGCATGCCTGTCTCCACCTTTCTCAACATGCTCTGTGTGTCATTTACAATCACAACATGTGTGTACAGCTGATTCTCAAGCCAGCGGAAGGCAGCAGAGACCGCCTCCACCTCCCTCGTTGCACTAGATATGATATATGCAAGGCTTTGCTGCACTCAGCGACATCCATTCGCCTCAGAAGTCCTTGGGGAGCATCTTACCATAGAGCATAACACACATAAGACCGATGTGGATCCCAATATCAGTCGATTTCCCAATCAGAATACATTTTATGGGTAGCTGAAAATGTATCCTAACCAGTCATGTTATTCAGCATTTACATTTATAAAGCTGTTCAGTTTGCTGAGCGTGGTCAACTTTTTTCTTTTCCCAAAATTGGAATTGGAAACTACTGTTTTCTGGTACACAGCTAGGCTGTGATATCTGCTACTTTCAGCCCAGTCTATCAGATTTCAGTAAACTAATTATTCAGTGTTTTTGACAAGTTTGTTCGATGGCAGTGTAGTTATCCCCCCCCCCCCTTTTTCCCCCAAATGAGGCCTCGGAATCCACATGGGGACCTGAACAGTCTATCTGGCTTTCTCTTTTCAGTTCAAGAAGAATGTTAACATGAACATAAACTCTGGGGTTTCATTGACAGCCTTAACAAGACTGCACTCACCAAACAAATGATTCAGGTAGAGACCTTCTTTTTATCTGTGTATCTTCCCTGTATGTGTTTCTAGACCCTTTTGTGGGGGGGGGGGGGGGGGGGGTTAGACCCACTGCCGCAGAATAAGCATATCAAGAAAGGTAACTAACAAGGAGTTATCTTGTGAAGTCGGGCTGCATTTACCTGAGAGGCGTGAAACCAACCATCAGCTCACAAATAAACCAGATTTGAAAGCAAAACTCAAATTTTGCAAGTCTAAAAGTAGATAAACAACTGGATCTTTCTGCCAGAGTTTACAGCTGATGAATGTTAAGAAAGAGAGATCAGTGTATCTAGATATTCTTCATGTACTGGCCCCAACACAGCCGCAGTAACACAATTCTAGAGGCTTGCTTGCCTACTCAAAAGGTCTTGGGTTCAAATCCACATCAATGTAGCTATGTTTTTTTTTCTTTCTTTTCTCTAAAATGAATCTTGGCCGCAGGTTGGCTGGATCTAAAATGAGAACCCGGGTAATGTCCTGACAAGTAATGGCAGCCAGCAAAATTTGACCACATTACAGGGGAAGTACTGACTGCCCTAAACAATCTGAGTACAGATGGTCCTCTGAGCTCAAGTGACAATACAGTTAGTGGTTAGTAGGTTATAGTACATTTCCAAAGTCGTGCCTTCACAAGTTTCACAAATATCTGGAAAATCATGTACGGAACAACATGAATTGTTACATGTTACAGAGGTGTAAAAATGGTCCTTTATTTTACTTGTATTCATGAACTGAACGATGCAGAGAGACCTCACTGTGATCCATCTGTCTCAATATGTGTACTTTTATTCATGAACTGAACGATGCAGAGAGACCTCACTGTGATCCATCTGTCCCAATATGTGTACTTTTATTCATGAACTGAACGATGCTGAGAAACCTCACTGTGATCCATCTGTCTCAATATGTGTACTTTTATTCATGAACTGAACGATGCAGAGAAACCTCACTGTGATCCATCTGTCCCAATATGTGTACTTTTATTCATGAACTGAACGATGCAGAGAGACCTCACTGTGATCCATCTGTCTCAATATGTGTACTTTTATTCATGAACTGAACGATGCAGAGAGACCGCACTGTGATCCATCTGTCCCAATATGTGTACTTTTATTCATGAACTGAACGATGCAGAGAGACCTCACTGTGATCCATCTGTCTCAATATGTGTACTTTTATTCATGAACTGAACGATGCAGAGAGACCTCACTGTGATCCATCTGTCTCAATATGTGTACTTTTATTCATGAACTGAACGATGCAGAGAGACCGCACTGTGATCCATCTGTCTCAATATGTGTACTTTTATTCATGAACTGAACGATGCAGAGAGACCTCACTGTGATCCATCTGTCTCAATATTTGTACTTTTATTCATGAACTGAACGATGCAGAGAGACCTCACTGTGATCCATCTGTCTCAATATTTGTACTTTTATTCATGAACTGAATGATGCAGAGAAACCTCACTGTGATCCAGTTGTCATAGTACTCCTTCATGAACTTACCCTAAACTAACACCACCGACTTCAGTCTGCAAATTTGGCCATGATCCATTTATGTGATACTACCACACCATCACTTTTGTTTTTCCTATTAGGCAGAGCAAGATCTTTCTGTCACATTGTGAAGTCAAGCCACAATGATGTGGCTAAATTCTGTCAAACAGTGAAGTAAAGCAAGAATGACAAAGCTAAATTCTGTCAGAAGGGAAACAGTGAAGTAAAGCAAGAATGACAAAGCTAAATTCTGTCAGAAGGGAAACAGTGAAGTAAAGCAAGAATGACAAAGCTAAATTCTGTCAGAAAGGAAGCAGTGAAGTAAAGCAAGAATGACAAAGCTAAATTCTGCCAGAAAGGAAACAGTGAAGTAAAGTAAGAATGACATGGCTAAATTCTGTCAGAAAGGAAACAGTGAAGTAAAGCAAGAATGACAAAGCTAAATTCTGCCAGAAAGTAAACAGTGAAGTAAAGCAAGATTGACAAAGCTAAATTCTGCCAGAAAGGAAACAGTGAAGTAAAGCAAGAATGACAAGGCTAAATTCTGCCAGAAAGGAAACAGTGAAGTAAAGCAAGAATGACAAAGCTAAATTCTGCCAGAAAGGAAACAGTGAAGTAAAGTAAGAATGACAAAGCTAAATTCTGTCAGAAAGTAAACAGTGAAGTAAAGCAAGAATGACAAAGCTAAATTCTGTCAGAAAGGAAACAGTGAAGTAAAGCAAGAATGACAAAGCTAAATTCTGCCAGAAAGGAAACAGTGAAGTAAAGTAAGAATGACATGGCTAAATTCTGTCAGAAAGGAAACAGTGAAGTAAAGTAAGAATGACATGGCTAAATTCTGCCAGAAAGGAAACAGTGAAGTAAAGCAAGAATGACAAAGCTAAATTCTGCCAGAAAAAAAAAACAGAAAGAAAATCTAAAATGACACAGCTAAGTCCTGCCAGAAAGATAAGCAGAAAGAAAATTTAAAATTACACGGCTAAATTCTATCGGAAAGAAAATCTAAAAATGACACAGCTTAATTGTACCAGAAAAAAATTTGGAAAAGACACGACTAAATTCTACTAGGAATAACGTATTACAGTCAAACTAGCATTGCTGTAATAGGCAGCTGTGTGAGACTATTATCACTACTGTTGCAATTTATTTTTTTTCTATCCTATGCCATTCTTTCAATATCCTAATTGGAATCCAGCCCAGTAGCTTTGGCCTCTCTCATTTATGTTCATCTTGAAGATGTCTCTCTTGAAAATCCTTACTTCCCAAATGTGGTTGTTTCCCATTGCAATGCCCCCGGTTGTGGTTCTGTCCTCTTCAGCTCTGGGTGTGACAAATGTACCGCCACCTTCTTTGTCTTACAAACTGTTGATACCAGTTGTCCTGACATTTCTTTGGTTTCTTCACTTTTCTTGAAAACATCCCATGTAAGTATGTTTTTACAAGAGATAGCAATAGATTCACTAAGTAGCAAAAGACACGCCTGGGGACTGAGGAAAACAAAAAAATGATAAATATTTTTAACATTTGAATTATTTTTGTCATTACAGCATCCACAATACTGCCATGAGCTATATATTGTGGAAGGAAAATAAATATTGTTTCCTATGTACTTCTGTAGATGGGGGTTGAACATGTTCCACAAAAACTGTGCTCTGTGTATCTTATTCCCCTGACAAGAGCAAGGGAAAAAGACTACAAGGAAATGTGTAAGCACAGATGCAGGGATCTGACAAACAAGCACAAGGAAATGTGTAAGCACAGATGCAGGGATCTGACAAACAAGCACAAGGAAATATGTAAGCACAGACGCAGGGATCTGACAAACAAGCACAAGGAAATATGTAAGCACAGACGCAGGGATCTGACAAACAAGCACAAGGAAATATGTAAGCACAGATGCAGGGATCTGACAAACAAGCACAAGGAAATGTGTAAGCACAGATGCAGGGATCTGACAAACACACACACAAGCACAAGGAAATGTGTAAGCACAGACGCAGGGATCTGACAAACACACACACAAGCACAAGGAAATGTGTAAGCACAGATGCAGGGATCTGACAAACAAGCACACAAGCACAAGGAAATGTGTAAGCACAGACGCAGGGATCTGACAAACACACACACACACACAAGCACAAGGAAATGTGTAAGCACAGATGCAGGGATCTGACAAACACACAAGCACAAGGAAATGTGTAAGCACAGACGCAGGGATCTGACAAACACACACACAAGCACAAGGAAATGTGTAAGCACAGACGCAGGGATCTGACAAACACACACACACAAGCACAAGGAAATGTGTAAGCACAGACGCAGGGATCTGACAAACACACACACACAAGCACAAGGAAATGTGTAAGCACAGATGCAGGGATCTGACAAACACACAAGCACAAGGAAATGTGTAAGCACAGACGCAGGGATCTGACAAACAAGCACAAGGAAATATGTAAGCACAGACGCAGGGATCTGACAACACACACACACAAGCACAAGAAAATGTGTAAGCACAGACACAGGGATCTGACAAACAAGCACAAGGAAATGTGTAAGCACAGATGCAGGGATCTGACAAACAAGCACAAGGAAATGTGTAAGCACAGATGCAGGGATCTGACAAACAAGCACAAGGAAATGTGTAAGCACAGATGCAGGGATCTGACAAACAAGCACAAGGAAATGTGTAAGCACAGATGCAGGGATCTGACAAACACACACACAAGCACAAGGAAATGTGTAAGCACAGATGCAGGGATCTGACAAACACACACACAAGCACAAGGAAATGTGTAAGCACAGATGCAGGGATCTGACAAACACACACACAAGCACAAGGAAATGTGTAAGCACAGATGCAGGGATCTGACAAACACACACACAAGCACAAGGAAATGTGTAAGCACAGACGCAGGGATCTGACAAACACACACACAAGCACAAGGAAATGTGTAAGCACAGACGCAGGGATCTGACAAACACACACACAAGCACAAGGAAATGTGTAAGCACAGATGCAGGGATCTGACAAACACACACACAAGCACAAGGAAATGTGTAAGCACAGATGCAGGGATCTGACAAACACACACACACAAGCACAAGGAAATGTGTAAGCACAGATGCAGGGATCTGACAAACAAGCACAAGGAAATATGTAAGCACAGATGCAGGGATCTGACAAACAAGCACAAGGAAATGTGTAAGCACAGATGCAGGGATCTGACAAACACACACACACAAGCACAAGGAAATGTGTAAGCACAGATGCAGGGATCTGACAAACAAGCACAAGGAAATATGTAAGCACAGACGCAGGGATCTGACAAACAAGCACAAGGAAATATGTAAGCACAGACGCAGGGATCTGACAAACAAGCACAAGGAAATATGTAAGCACAGATGCAGGGATCTGACAAACAAGCACAAGGAAATATGTAAGCACAGATGCAGGGATCTGACAAACAAGCACAAGGAAATATGTAAGCACAGATGCAGGGATCTGACAAACAAGCACAGGGAAATATGTAAGCACAGACGCAGGGATCTGACAAACAAGCACAAGGAAATATGTAAGCACAGATGCAGGGATCTGACAAACACACACACACAAGCACAAGGAAATATGTAAGCACAGACGCAGGGATCTGACAAACAAGCACAAGGAAATGTGTAAGCACAGATGCAGGGATCTGACAAACACACACACACAAGCACAAGGAAATGTGTAAGCACAGATGCAGGGATCTGACAAACAAGCACAAGGAAATATGTAAGCACAGACGCAGGGATCTGACAAACAAGCACAAGGAAATATGTAAGCACAGACGCAGGGATCTGACAAACAAGCACAAGGAAATATGTAAGCACAGACGCAGGGATCTGACAAACAAGCACAAGGAAATATGTAAGCACAGACGCAGGGATCTGACAAACAAGCACAAGGAAATGTGTAAGCACAGACGCAGGGATCTGACAAACAAGCACAAGGAAATGTGTAAGCACAGACGCAGGGATCTGACAAACAAGCACAAGGAAATATGTAAGCACAGACGCAGGGATCTGACAAACAAGCACAAGGAAATGTGTAAGCACAGATGCAGGGATCTGACAAACACACACACAAGCACAAGGAAATGTGTAAGCACAGATGCAGGGATCTGACAAACAAGCACAAGGAAATGTGTAAGCACAGATGCAGGGATCTGACAAACACACACACAAGCACAAGGAAATGTGTAAGCACAGATGCAGGGATCTGACAAACACACACACACACAAGCACAAGGAAATGTGTAAGCACAGACGCAGGGATCTGACAAACACACACACAAGCACAGGGAAATGTGTAAGCACAGATGCAGGGATCTGACAAACACACACACACAAGCACAAGGAAATGTGTAAGCACAGATGCAGGGATCTGACAAACACACACACAAGCACAAGGAAATGTGTAAGCACAGATGCAGGGATCTGACAAACACACACACACACAAGCACAAGGAAATGTGTAAGCACAGATGCAGGGATCTGACAAACACACACACAAGCACAGGGAAATGTGTAAGCACAGATGCAGGGATCTGACAAACACACACACAAGCACAAGGAAATGTGTAAGCACAGATGCAGGGATCTGACAAACACACACACAAGCACAAGGAAATGTGTAAGCACAGATGCAGGGATCTGACAAACACACACACAAGCACAAGGAAATGTGTAAGCACAGACGCAGGGATCTAACAAACACACACACAAGCACAAGGAAATGTGTAAGCACAGACGCAGGGATCTAACAAACACACACACAAGCACAAGGAAATGTGTAAGCACAGATGCAGGGATCTGACAAACACACACACAAGCACAAGGAAATGTGTAAGCACAGATGCAGGGATCTGACAAACAAGCACACAAGCACAAGGAAATGTGTAAGCACAGATGCAGGGATCTGACAAACAAGCACACAAGCACAAGGAAATGTGTAAGCACAGACGCAGGGATCTGACAAACACACACACAAGCACAGGGAAATGTGTAAGCACAGACGCAGGGATCTGACAAACACACACACAAGCACAGGGAAATGTGTAAGCACAGATGCAGGGATCTGACAAACAAGCACAAGTTTTCACTCACGTGTTAGATGGGGGTGAAATATTTTGGTGTCCCTGTAGGTGCCGTTCATGATTGCCAGTTCCATCAGCTGCCGTTTCTTGAGATCATCTTCTCCATCAGGCTGGAGGGAAACATTTTTAGATCTCGTTATATAAATACACTTTGGCTATCACCACAGAAAAATAATTGTCCTTTTTTTTTTTTAAAGAATAAAAACTGAATGAAACAGACACTATTTGAATGCGCATGCAACAGAAACAAAACCCAGAAACCTCGAACTCTTTTTCAGTGATCTCTGGTCATCACTTAATACCTTACAGGCCATAAAGTGGTCATCTCAAAGTCTCTTAGGTTTCCCCAATATTTAGTTGTCAAGACTACTGGGTGAAGTCACATGATGTTTCGCAGCTCCTCCAGGAGAGGACAGTCTCACAAGACATGTTCTGGGGTCTGTCCAGCAGAAAGACACTGAAAGAGAGCTGTTTGGTTCATACCTAAATTAATGAGTGTTCGCTGCTCTGTTCTGTTTAGATGATTGAGGATATCTTTTGTCCATTGTTTTCCAGTCCAGTCAGGTTGTGATTGTCTCTTTATGTGTGGCTGGCAGACTTGCTCTTTCGAGCTGCCTACCTTGACCATTCAGTCAGTGCTTTCACTGACTTGGCAGAAATCTGATGCAGACAAAGGACAGGTCCTTCTTCAGTGGTACTTACAGCAGACTGACCAGAAAGATGAGGCAGACAGAGTTAGGATGAAACTTTGGGAGCGGTGTGAGAAGTCTGAGTGATGACTATGTTATCACCCCCGAGACCATAAGGACAGTGATTAAAAATAATTCACAGAACACTGGCCTATGCCCTGGCAGCATCTGATATGCTACCGATGACGGAGGACGACATGACAGAACTGGCAGGAGAATTCAACTGCAGCATCCAGAGTGGTCAGATCAAAGAGGAGTGGCTACACAGCTACATACTACTGCTGCCAAACCAAAAAGACCACTCCCAAGATCAGCAGCTTCAGAATTATTATGACGTGGAACACACTGATAACTTGGACAGAGAAGAGGAGAAATATTGACATCTTCAAAGATCTGAACATCAAGGAAGATTGGCTAATAAACAGCATCCTTTCTTGGAAGCTGAAATATTTTGGTCATATCAAGTGCCACAACGGATTGGACAAAACTATAGCACAAGGCATGGTACCAGGAAGGAGGGGCAGGGGCCGGCTGACACGAAGATGGGCACAGGATATAAGTGACTCCTTGAGTATGAAAGTACATGAGGCAGGAGAACTGGCGAGACACCGAGTTTCTTTCAGGCAGACTGTGATGAGAGCGACGTTCTGCAAAGGACCTGCTACATGATGATGATGGAACACTCTGGGCAAACTTCTGGAGAAAATAGTAGCGCCCAGACTCACTGATGACTTGGACAAGACTGGGCATGTTCAACAGTTACGGACCACAGACGACAGACTAGGGTACCCACCGCTGGCACCAGTAGCTTCATAACTTCATCCTTGGCCTTCTGTAGTTTGACCTCAGCCCTGCTCTGTGTGTCCTCGACCGTGATGAGCACGTGCAGCTCCTCGTGTAAGTGTTCCCAGTTGGCCTTGCCACGGTTCTGATCTTCCTAGATGAAGACACCCACAATATTGTCAAAACGAGGGATAAAAGAGTGGAGAAGATAGACAGAAGAGGACTTGTCTGTGAAAGAATGAAAAAAAGGACAGAAAAGCACGATGTCAGTGGGAGAATTAACATACATACAGAGAATTTGATGAAGCCAAAAGATGAATAATGAACATAAACAGGGTAGAACGATAACAGTTGACAAATAAAGATGATAACAGAAGAGGATGATGCTAACTGATGAATGAAGATAACAGAAGAGGACGATGCTAACTAATGGATAAAGAAGATAACACAAGTGGATGATGATGATGATTGTTGAATAAAGAAAACAGAAGAGGATTAAAATCAAAGAGGGAAAAGAAGCATGCACTAAAGACTGAAGAGAGGAACTAAAGAGAAATTGATAATGTGGAATAAGAAGCAGAATAAACCTGCCTTGACTGGGTACCAGGTAAAGTCCTGGGAAGTAATGGCAGCCAGTGTGATGCTGACCACAGCACCCACCAAGTGGTCTAAATAAATATAGGTCTAGCCATATATTCCAAACACGCCAGAAGGCGTGGATAAACAGACCTTAACTTTCTGCCCCCTGAGGAGCATATTGTACCAGGAGACTTATCAAGGCTGTTTCCTTCAGAGTGCAAGTTCTGGGGCAAGACCAAAGTCCACAGAGAATTAGATGAACAAACAACATTCCAGTGGAGTTTACAGGCAATCAATGCATGCTATCAAGAGGAAGAAGAAGAAGAAGAAGAAGGAGAAGAAGAAGAAGAAAGAAGGAAGAAGGAAGAAGGAAGAAGAAAGAAGAGAAGAAGAAAGAAAGAAAGAAAGAAAGAAAGAAAGAAAGAAAGAAAGAAAGAAAGAAAGAAAGAAAGAAAGAAAGAAAGAAAGAAAGAAAGAAAGAAAGAAAGAAAGAAAGAAAGAAAGAAAGAAAGAAAGAAAGAAAGAAAGAAAGAAAGAAAGAAAGAAAGAAAGAAAGAAAGAAAGAAAGAAAGAAAAATTGGAAAAAAAAGAAGAAAATAAAGAACGCAGAAAACACAGAAATACCAACTAAATGAACAAAAAATAAATAAGAACTATAGCACAGGGTGGCTTCAAAAAAAAAAAACAAGACAAGGTGATACAGTTAAAGAAAGGACATGATGATAATGATGTGTAGGTGAAGTAGGGACAGCAGTAGCAGCAGAATAAGCAACAGCAGAAGCAGTAACAGTTGCAATAGACATTGCGTAGTAGCAGCAGCAGCAGCAGAATAAGAAGGAGGTGGTGGAAGAGGATGTGTTCACCGTAAAAGGCCAGACAAAACAAACAAACACATAGATATGTATCTACTGACTTTTCCTTTGTCTCGCATGGATCCTTTACCACGAACCATAATCTTGCAGCCAGTAAACTGTTCCAACTCCTTGGCTGTCATCCCTCGTGGACCCAATATCCGGCCGACAAAGTTGAACTGAAAGAAGAAGAAAAAAAAAAACAATTATACAACCAATATGATTAGCACACATGGAACAGAGTTATGAACTGGGTTATTGTCACAGCACCCCCGGCGCATCCATGGGTGCTTAGACACATTTTAACACATATATATCAGCATTCCATGGTGAGGCAATAATATTTCATAAGTTTGGTATGCTTCTCCTGAATGGCTGTGCCGATCTTTACTAACAATTCTTGCGTTCTTAGTAGCAATGTTCAACCTCAATTCTCCCAGGCTTGGCTCTATCATGCCATCTGCAACAGTCAACTCTTGTATTCCAAAAACACCCGCATACCTGTGACAAAAGATGAAGAAAACTCAAGGTCCTGCAAACCTTGCAGTGACCCAGTCTTATTCTTCAGCTGAAGAATAAAGACAGGCAGGGAGCAGGCAGTGAACATAGCAGGAAAACTGAGCTATTCAGATTCTCTTCCTTCTTTTCATCATCTAAAAGAAAAGAGCAAGTATCAGCCCTCATCCAAGTCGAGAATCGTTGTCCTATCCCTTTCCAGCTCTTTCATGCCATTCAGACTCATTCATACCAGTTTCTAATTAATCATTTCTCCGTCTGTATTTTTTCCCTGTTGATTTCTCTAACCACATGGGTTCCAGTACCAAGATATTCTAGTTAACACACTTTATTATATTTTCACACGTGATTTTTATTTACATCTGATAACCTATAGCTCTTTAATCAAATAGAGGTTTCTTTGCAATGTGATTTCAAATTAGGGAGACTGAAGGCCCTTGTGTTCCACTGATCTAAAGAGCTTTACCGAAAAGAAAGGACCATTCCACCACATTGCTGCACTGAATATATCATGACAATATGTAAGTAAAGGACCATTCCACGTCATTGCCGCACTGAATATATCATGACAATATGTAAGTAAAGGACCATTCCACCACATTGCTGCATTGAATATATCATGACAATATGTAAGTAGAGGACCATTCCACGTCATTGCCGCACTGAATATATCATGACAATATGTAAGTAAAGGACCATTCCACGTCATTGCCGCACTGAATATATCATGACAATATGTAAGTAAAGGACCATTCCACCACATTGCTGCACTGAATATATCATGACAATATGTAAGTAAAGGACCATTCCACGTCATTGCTGCATTGAATATATCATGACAATATGTAAGTAGAGGATCTGTTCAGGTGCCTTCAGGCGTACTGGGCACATACTGCTAGACATTTACTTAAAATACCAATCAGCACTCGGTGGGTGATGTGGTGACTATTGTTGGTCGCCTTTACTTCCCAGGACCTTAAACTGGTATTCTCTCAAGGCCGGGTTAACCTGGTAGCCAAGGTCAGTTTTTAAAGAGAGGGGGGGGGGGGGGTCCGGTTTTTGTCGGACTCGAAGCACAGAAACAACTTACCAAGGCTCTCGCCCGATATATCTTCTAAACCTGACTGGCATCACAGGATTGGATAATGAGGGGGAGAAGAAAACACCGACTATATATATATCCGTGGGCCCACAAAGCGTCAACGATCATCATCATAAACCACTTCTGCCGTTAAGCGTCGTGGAAGTGGTTTATGATGATGATGTCACTGATGGCAATAAACATACACGTCTATTGACACAGAAAACTTCCACGTCCGTGCTCTTCTGACACACGTGGAGCAGCCGACATATGACGCTGGGACTCCACATTTGATAAACCAATGGATGGGTGATGTGATCGACGTCACATTTACCGCCTTTACTTCCGAGGACATTATAGTATATTCATTTAGGCTTCGTCGATCTGGAAGTTAAGGTCATGTAGATTCGAGCTTAACGCCTTCGGGTCGATAGGCCAGTCTCTAACAGCTGTTACCTCAAATCTTAAACGGACCGTACAACAGTTATTCGTGTGTGTCCCGAATGTACCCCCACATACCCACACTTCCCCCGGCAACACAGAAAGAGATTTTAGACTCGGGGAGGTGTCTTATAAAAGGCGGGAAACTATAGCAGACGTGATCCTGGCCGGTTCTCCGGGATTGCTGGTCAGACGAATGTTGTTACAGGAGTGGCCGTCCGTGGGGGTACACAGGGTTTCATGCACAGATATTTGAATATATTCGGTTTGAGGAGTAGTTGCACACACACACAGAGAGAGAGACACAGAGAGAGAGAGAGAGAGAGAGAGAGAGAGAGAGAGAGAGAGAGAGAGAGAGAAACAGATGTGAAATAGGTTATACAAATGGCGAGGGAGAAAGGCAAAGAATGAGCAATACGAGTGGTGGATATAAAATGGGGTGGGGTGCATAGAGAGATGGAGAAGAGTTGAGTCAAGAATTGACGTCACTGCACTCGGGGCATTCCTATGCGTGCTCCGTCTTCATCTTAAGCAGCCAGAGTTCCAATACCGATGGTAACGGCCACACTCAGGTGCCTGATTCTCTCCAGGCCATAATAATCTTCAATCTCTGCTGATTCCGTTGCTTGTTCCCAAAGGGTCTTGGCCACATCTGCCTTGTCATGCATCAGTTCTGGACCCAGTGGTGCCAAAGTATGCTCACTACCCGTGACCTCCCCATTGAAGCTTGCAGATGGAGAAGAGGTGTATAAATAGGGGTGGGAGGGAGGAAGGGGCGGCGGCGAAGGAAAAGAAGATATAAAATGTTTCTATTTTCAGCACATGGTAATGTTTATGCGTAGTTAGTCTCAAAGAATTTTAGCATCGAATTTTCCTTACTAGATTTTTCACAGGGAAAATTAACGACCGAGTTAAAGAAACTTCAAGCGATACTGCCCCTGCCCGTCAAAGGAACATTGTCATTGCATACGTGTTAATCAGTAATCCCTGCTCGCTGCGTCTCGCATTTCTGCTTTAACATGTGAAGATGTTTTCTGTGAAATATGTCTAGCAAATATGTCAGTTCTGCGTTCACTGATTCACTCATTGGTTCATTGATTGGTTCACTCATTGGTTCATTGATTGGTTCATGTCAAGGTCTAAAGATCAACTGGTGAGTCCTTGGTCACCTTTATTTCCCGGAACAAATTCCGGTCCTCATTTGAGACTGACAGTGAAATATCCCAGACAACAAAAATGCGCCGCGTTAGTGTAGTCGATAAGAGGCTCGCCTTCAAATCCAGCTGCAACTCGATGTCGCCCACGGTCGGTGTTCGAAACCGGGCGGTTCCCGGGGTTCACCCAGCCTCTAGGAAATGGGTACCAGAGTTGACATTCTAGGGTAAGTGGAGGAACGTCGCTGTAGCTACAGAGTTACGTGCGGACGGCGACACAGCCGGACAATTCTTATCAGCTGTCCGTACTGGTGGCAGAGCACTTATGGTTTATAACCGTGTGCAATGACGCTGGTTCGCATATCCAGACTTTACCTTTACCTTGATTTGAGACTGACAGTGAAATATTCCAGACGCACACAAAAACTGCTGAATACGTTTCTTTTGCCTACAAACATATTTTTTTTTCTTTGTAAAACTGACAAGATAAAGTTTTTAAAAAAAAGCCGACAATGACCTTGTAGCATGTCTGATTTATCTGCTTTTTTTCCCCCTTCTTCGTTCGCCCTCAACAGGTCGGTTGGCACCTGGTAGCGGTTAACAGCGAAACGTGCGCCTTTCCGCTCAACAACACAACCATTTAATTAATCTGGACTTGCTTATCAAGGTGCGGTCCGTCTATTATTGTTTCTCCATGCATCGAGCCCTAGAACCCTCCGCGGGGATTTGTTGTCTTCAGTCAACTTCTAACACCAGAACCTTCCACACGAGGATTTGCTGTCTTCAGTCCACTTCTAACCCCAGAACCTTTCACGGGGATTTGTTGTCTTCAGTCCACTTCTAACCCCAGAACCTTCCACAGGGATTTGCTGTCTTCAGTCCACTTCTAACCCCAGAACCTTTCACGGGGATTTGCTGTCTTCAGTCCACTTCTAACCCCAGAACCTTCCACAGGGATTTGCTGTCTTCAGTCCACTTCTAACCCCAGAACCTTTCACGGGGATTTGCTGTCTTCAGTCCACTTCTAACCCCAGAACCTTTCACGGGGATTTGCTGTCTTCAGTCCACTTCTAACCCCAGAACCTTCCACGGGGATTTGAGTCTTCAGTCAACTTCTAACCCCAGAACCTTAAATGAGGATTTGTTGTCTTCAGTCCACTTCTAACCCCAGAACCTTCCACGGGGATTTGAGTCTTCAGTCAACTTCTAACCCCAGAACCTTAAATGAGGATTTGTTGTCTTCAGTCCACTTCTAACCCCAGAACCTTCCACGGGGATTTGTTGTCTTCAGTCCACTTCTAACCCCAGAACCTTAAATGAGGATTTGTTGTCTTCAGTCCACTTCTAACCCCAGAACTTTAAACGAGGATTTGTTGTCTTCAGTCCACTTCTAACCCCAGAACCTTCCACGGGGATTTGTTGTCTTCAGTCCACTTCTAACCCCAGAACTTTAAACGAGGATTTGTTGTCTTCAGTCAACTTCTATTCCCATAAATCTTCCACTTCTGTTTCTCCAGTATAAAACATGTGTGCGTATATGTTCTTTGTGGTGTGTTATGTGTGTGTGTGTTTGTTTTCTCAATTTGTGCTTGTTTGATGAAAAACCCACGTGATAATCTTTCATGATTTTCGTTTTCTGCCACCGCTCCGTGCCGGTTTGCCAGTTTTCCATTTGGCTCGAAGCCATCGGGGAAATATGGCGGAACGAGAGAAGCCGGCGTGTGGAGGCAGGTTGAGAAATGTTCACGACTTGCTATGCTGGGATTGACTGGAACAAAACGGTCCTGTAGCCACACAAAAAACATGCGCTGATTGGACACAAACTGGCAGGGCCTGTCGGCGGTGATTAATGAACAAGGATGCTTGGCCGTGAAGATGTTTTCTGGAGAGTTCATCAATGTCTTGCATGGAGGCAAACGGTGAATATTCCAAACTGGATCAATGTGGGTGCGCGTGTGTGTGCGTGCGTGGTGTTAGGTTTCAGGCCAAAAAGCACATGAAAGGGTCTTGACACCCCCCCCCCCCCTCCTCCCCTCTTTATGTGCTAAGATGCCCCCAAAAATGTGAAGACATTTTCAGTTTGAGTTTAAACATATGGTATTATTTCAGATATTATGTTGTGCCATTGGGCATACTGATATCATTACCATTATCATCTCCCTGTTGCCCTCCTTAGCGTTCACAGACTAAACTCTCAGCGGAAGGTTCTGGTTGTTAGCCCACTTTTGGTCTTGGCCCAGAACCTGATATATTGGTGCACATCCGCTTTACAGATCTGGCTTACTTTTGTGTGCAGGTTGCTGGTTCCTCGCCTCTCGAGCAGATGCATTCCTAATCCGATGGACACATCATCATTAGTCGGATGTTACGACATGTTTGTTAGGGGGCAGTGGGTCTACCCCCCTCCCCCAAAGGTGCGGAACCCAGGGGAAAAGGGGGGTATTATTATCATGGCTATTGCAGTTTTCTTTTTAGTATTATGCACTCAAACAGTGCTTTGATTCTTTCACCGGATATAAAATGATGGCTAAATTGATTCAGCATTCATACAAGTGAGGACAAAATAGACATCGCTATAGTCAGTGCTTGTTTTGAGGATAAGTCCAGCGGTAGGCGGTTGGCCACCCCACACGATCACCAGAATCACTGATAAGGTCAGTGTTCTTCTACTACCAAATTCATATCAACATATTAAGATCATTGCCTTGCCTTTAATACTTTTGCATAAAACTTGCCAGCTGTCAGCGAAGTTCTCGGGTCTTGTGTTCTTGACATTAGATGCCCACAGAATGAGTTCACCCCCCAATGTTTATTACCATCATGTCATTTGGCCAAGGAATACCAGTTTACGATAAACTATATACAGTATGCACTGAAAGTTTGTTTATACCACCCCCCCCCCCCTTATTTCTTTTTTGGCTTCACATTGTGAAGAACGGCAGAGTTTTTCCTATTCGAGCCTGTCTTCTGCCTGATCTAGACAAGATATTGGAAATTATAATCAAATTTGTTCTATCAATGGTTGAATAGAAACCAGTGTGGGGTGAAAGGTTAAAGGTAAGCCAACAAGGGAAAGACACAAACAGGAGGCTAACATTTGGGTATGGATGAACGGCAGACCCAGAGAGTACAACAAGGAAGGAGGAAAAACAAGAACTTTGTGTACAGGTGCATTAAAGCCAACCTTCATTGAAGAGACGGCAACGAGTTCACTGCCTCAGTTCTCTCTGCCATATTACATATTTGATTATGACAAGCTGCTTAAATTTTTCCAACTTTCCATGTGCATTCCTCGCTTGTTCTGAGCCTCTTATTCTCCTGTCTGGGTTGCTTTTTGAGTAAGACTCTCTAGCCGCAACTATTATGTTGTATAATTCATGAAAGTGAACATACTGCATTCTATTAACCAACTTCCTATGTTGAAATACTCACGCAACAAATAAGTTCCGCCGTCCAATGCCATATTTTTAAGCAATGGACGATGATTTGCCTCTTAGGGTGTGCACTATAGGGTCCTATTGATATGGTGGTGGTGGGGAGAGGGGGGGGGGTTCAAACCTATTGCCCACTAACAAAGCATGTCGAAAAATGGCGACTTATTAGATGCATTCGATCGAAAGGTGTCAATAACCCAGCCTAGCTGTATTCTACAAGGAAGCGTGTTAGTCGTTCGCTATTTTTAATGTGAACGCAGACGAAATTTTAAGGTGCCACAGAAAACAAAATAGGACAATACACCCCCCCCCCCCCCTCCCTCTCCCACATTGCGAGTCTGCAGCGTGAAAACCTCAAATATGAGAATCAAAAAGGTACAAACTCCACTAATTATGTCCAACCGTTGAAGACAGTTACATCGGGGCATCCGATCTGTTCTAATCCTATAGTAACGAAATAACCTTCGTCGGCGTTGAGTGGAGTTTAGATTATATATGGATACGCATTATATAGGCCTCTTCCAAAAATCACGCTTTTCCAAGTGTTCATGGTCATGATCTCTCGAGTAAAGGGCCGGGTACAGTAACCACGTCTGGACTGGAACAGCCTGGCTCACACACCATGAGCTGTGTGCTCAAACGGGTGGCTGTCGATGCTGTTCGGGGAAAGAACAATAAATAATCTTACACAAACACTCGGCGTTCACGTTAGAAACATTTCTACCTGGTCGTTGAGGTATCTCCCAGGTATCGCTGGGTGGCTGCACCTTCGCCAGTGATTAAAACACATCTGGTAATCGGCGGGTATGTTCAGGTAGGGAGGTTAAGGCAAATGTTCTGTATGGAATATTTGATCTGATAACGATGGTGCCGACAGAGATGAGGAAGGGAGAATATGAGAGAAGGAGATATGGAATTCAGGAAAGAAACAAAGAACGAACGAAAGAAAGAGCAACATAAAATAATCATATTTAAAAAAGTTGACGATGATAAAGAAGAAGAAAAATAATAATAATAATAAGAAGAAGAAGAAGAAGAAGAAGAAGAAGATAACGGTAAAGTCGGGAGATGTGAACCAGCGTCATTGCACACGGTTATAAACCATAAGTGCTCTGCTACCAGTACGGACAGCTGATAAGAACTATCCGCATGTATCGCCGTTCGCACGTAACTCCGTAGCTACAGCAACGTTCCTCCATTTACCCCAAAGTGTCAACTCTGGTACCCATTTCCTAGAGGCTGGGTGAACCCCGGAAGCCGCCCGGTTTCAAACACCGACCGTGGGCTGCAGCGAGTCGCAGCAGGGTTTGAAAGCGAGCCTCTTATCGACTGCGCTAACGCGGCCCCAAAGAAGAAGAAGAAGAAGAAGAAGAAGAAGAAAAAGAAGAACAACAACATCAGATACTCACATCGGGATGTTCTTTGACCGGCACAAACAGTTTGGTCTGAAGTTGTACAACGGGACCGGCGGGGTCAGGGAGGTCCAACATTTCACGTTTGCCTTGATGATGAAACAGACCCAGTCGGACACGGTTAATTTCTGAAACAGGCAAAGTGTTAGTAGTGTATAAGTCGTTTACGGGTATCATTTGGCCTAAGCCTCCTTCTTTATTCTTTGTAAAAGATGGCGGCCAAATCTGCTTGGTCTCTCTGGGAGGCTTTATATATCCTTAGTAAATATCGATCGGGACAGCCTCCCTCTTTATCCTTAGTAAATATCGATCGGGAGGCTGATGACAGCACACTTGACGGGTTTTCTCGGGCGGGGAAAGACATATGGTGCATAAATCGATATGTTGTCTCCATAGCAACTGGTTATTCATTGTCGGTATGTGGGTATTTTTTTTTTAATTAGTTTCATAACGGCAGGTGACAGGTGGCGTTATATAAAGGGTGAGATCAGGGAGCCGTTTTAGACTTGCGATAAAGAAAAACCTAGGAAGGCGACGTGGTGACCGGGGATATATTAGAAAGGGCAGCTTGGGCGCCGGCATCATCATCATCATCTGTATCATGGTAGCGAAGGTCGACCGCTCATGGATGGTTTGAGCTGTAGTAAAAAAGGACGACAGAATGCTGGGTGTCTGGTAATACTGTGGAGAGTCGAAGAGAAGGGGCATAATTGGCAGACTATCTGACTTTGTAAATAAGTGGGCGAAGGTTCTGATTGGTCAGTAGGCTTCAGTGGTTATTCTGCTGGAACAGTCGATTTAGGAAAAACTCGGCAGTTGGTGTCGCTCAACGGGGTACGCCCGCCCGTACGCACGCACGCACACACGCACGCCCGCGGGGGTCGTTTTAGGGGATAGATACAGAAACCTAGGAAAGTGGTTTGATGGTAGGGAGAAAGTGGGGCTGGGGCGCCATCATCATCATCCGCGTCGTCGTAAACTGTCCTTTTTCTTAGTAACTTTAAACCATTCTTGGTTACTTTCTGTTTCGTAAATTAGAGACTAATAGATAGCTGTGGATAGCTGGCTGTACCTGTATAAGGGGATATATACATAACAACTAAACCATTATTTATAACTAAGACAAAAATAACAACACAACAATATTTTTCGTTTTATATTTCTTTTATTCATAAAATTAAAAGTTGGCGCAGACATCTTCTCTTTGCAAGTGGCCAAGGAACCGAGTCATCTAGAGAGGCAGCAGGTCGGTTGTTCTCGACAGTCTCAATGTGTCGGATGACATGATCCGGTATATATTCGTCCGTGTTGGGGCTGTTCTCGTCAGCGTAGGGTTCTGTGATCCTAGGTGTAGGCGGGTAACAAGGAATGGTTAGCAGCTCCAGTCGATCAAACTCTGTCAGGATCTCCGTCTTTAGTTCAAGTAGTTGTTCAAATTCTAGGCGACTTAGTGTCAGTCCTGTTTTGGTGGGAAATTTGAGATCTGCTTTACCAAAGAAACGTCTCAAGTGGAGTGCGGGTGTTCCTGTATAAAGCGAGACTGAAACAGCGTTCAAACCAGCACCCAAAGGTTTCACCACCTCGTCGCTCCTAGTCACATACACCCAACTGGTCGGGACTGTAGACATCTTCGGTTAGCGGATAACGGCGGCAATAAGATGACGGGTGCTGCTCAGGCTGGTTATATACCCACAGTGAGCTTGTAGAACCGGTTTAAACTCGACATGTCCGGACTTGTTTTGATGATTAAGGGCGAAACGAGGCGCCAAACTATTCGATCGTTGATGTATTGTCTATATGAAGACGAAAACGGCTGTAAAACTCGGCGCAGGCGACCACCGCGGCATTTAATCAGAATAAAATAAATAACGTATAGTCCACAAGTACTGCTCTGTAAGTCTTGTAAGGTACGAGGGTTATAACTGAAGGGTCTGGTCGAGTGGCGATCGATGAATCTTATAATTTCGGCGTGGAAGGGCGGGAGCCCGAGGGCGTCAAAATAGGTAAAACGCCCGACGCCATCGTAGTACAGACCAAGCCAATGCGAACCTGGCTGGTCGCTACCATCTGTATTGATGACAAACGCCGCTGTCTTGTGACGGTTGAAATGTATAGGTAGTTGATCACGGGCCAATACGTCTACTAGATGTGTTCGGCGAACAATGTGGTCAGCAAAGAGTATTTGACGTATCTGTTGCGTGTTCATGATCTTAGGCGTAGTCCAAAAGTACTTGTCGTGTCTTGGAAATTTCGAGTACAGAGTCTTGTTCAGCGTAGACTATAACTTGTAATGGTTCGGCAGTGAAGGTGGCGAACTTAAATTCTAAAGACAACGCCCCAGAGCGGGGCATCTCAAACTGGTCCCCATCCAACAGACTAGGTGAAAGGTCAAAGGCGTAGAGAGCGTACCCGTTCTTATAATGTCTGTATTCGATATCGTTACCGGCATCTTTACCCACCAGGCCCATAGCCAACATAGTGCCGAAAAACGCTTTCACGTAGCGATTATTCTCATAGTCTGGTGTTAAGGGTTTACTGGAGACACTACGACCGTCGACACTCACGTTTAGATACGTTAATCCGAAGTGTTGGAAATCGAACGGGTTAGTCTTGTAGGAACCGTTAAAGGCTACAGAGTTAATTAGTCCAATCACTAGTCTGGTAGGTGTCTGACTCAGAAAAAGATTGTCCTGGGTGTGAGACAACATTCCTTTGGGGATAGAAATGGTTTTCAGATTCACTCGTTTCAACGGATATTTGGCATTGGTCTTGGTTAAGGCTTTCTCATGGGCTAGAGAGATGGCTGGATTTAATTTGGCTTTTCGAACCATCAAGGTAGCGTGTGTTATGATAGACTTGTAACCAACCGTACCATCATGAGCTATAAGATTGAAGACGTCTTTAGAAGGTGTAAGTTTGATCTTGACATCTACGCCATTTAAGAGGTAGCGGTCTTGGGCGAAAATGTCGGCGTGTAAGCGTCCCATCATATCAATTTCTTGGCTATTGCTGGCTAGCTGTCGCCGTATTTTTAGGCCTTTATTACCAAGCTCTTGGGTGTCATCCATAAAACCCGCGGTATCACTGAGATACATGGCAGCAGAAAGAGGGCCTTTCTTGGCGTCTTCACCATAATTCAGGGTGGCCTCAAGATATGATCTATAATGATAACTGTTTTCGCTAGGTGTAATCAGCGTATCATTGAGGGAAACGTCGACTTGAGAAAATAAACTGTGCAGGTAATAGTTGACGGGTGCCACAGCAGCATCTGGCGGTATACTATCACCATTGCTTAAAGTGACTTTGGCTCTGACGTGTAAAAAAGTATTGAAAAGATCCAAGTATTCTTCACTGTTTCCGGAGATGGCAAACTCTATAGGAGCTCCAGGAGCTAGCGACGCCAGTGGATGTATTTCCACAAACTGTCCCTCCTCAACCGCTGTTTGTGTTGGTGGTACGCTGAACAAATCCAAACCAGAGTGAAGACACTCACACGAACTAGGATGAATCAGAGACATTATCAAAGATATCTGAGTACTTCTTCTTCCTCTGAGGCAGCTGCTGTTTGTGAGAAGGACGAGATCGGGGTGATGCTTTAAACCTTTTACTCAGAGGCTCACCAGGTGGCGCTGCGCGGCGTCGACGAATCCCGCTTCCTGATTGGTTACCAGCCACGTGATCAACAGCTCCTTGAAGTAGCCTCTTCCCCGCTTCCTTGGCATGTTCTCTAAAAGCATCTCCGACATTCCGACCGGCTAAAGCATCTTGGGCAACTTGCAAACCCGTACCGACACCTTCTCTTAACAGGGCTTTACCGCCTGTCTTTAACCAAGGAAGAACCATGCGACCTAAACCGCTGAAGAAACTACCCAGACCTCGTCCACGTTGACTTCTTCCGCCGATAAATACCGGTAAGCCATGTCCTGCTTGTTGACAGTAAAAATCTTCGTACATTTCAGGACTTCGAAGTAAGGGCACGTGTCTCACCATTATTCTAGATTGAAATGTCTCCGAGTTCTAAAATGTAACGTCACCACCGAAGATCCAGTCTTGAATGGTATAGTTTTTCCCGTGTCGGTGGTTAAAAGTATTTCCACCGTGTCAAAAGAAAAACGACTCATAGGAACGTAGTGTGGTTTGTCATAGATGCGAAACACAGAAGATGAAACTCTGTCCATAATAGGGACGGTACGCAATAAGGGAACCATGACATCACCCACAGGTCTCGCCGCGACGAGATCACAGTAGACGTAGACATTACTCATGTCGCTATCGATATCTACCTCATAATCACCGACTAGTGGTATGTCAGTGTTGGTCAGACACAGGTTGGTGAGGCCTAAAATAGATCTCAAGAGTTCGCATATAACAATCTGAGCGCCTTTCTCGTAAAGTTTCATGACGACCATTTTCGTGTACTTGTTATAATGGATTCGCAATATCGCATCACCACCATCCTCGTTTTCTAAAAGCAGTAGATTCAAAGCATCGATAAAATCTTCACCTGTCTTGTAGACACCAGCCGGTAATGTAATTTTCTGAGTTACCTTTTTGCTGTCCTTGGGTGGGGTGTATTCGATCCAGATATCATCTTCCAGGATATTAAAATAACTGCTGGGAAATTGAATCTCTGCCAGGCCGATTTCATACTGTGAACTCAATTCGATGGTCTGCGGCAGTTTGACGAAAAAGTGACCCGGTTTATTGTCGGGAAATATTTTTGGCGAGGCGTTGCTGGGTAGCGTCACGTAAAAACTCATGGTTGCTTTAAGACCGTCTCTATTTTCGGATTCGGTAATAGGTAACCCAAACAACTAGACAAGAGCACGATCCACAATTTTCCCTCTGCCTCACTCGCCGAGCCGTACGTCAGATTGAATAGTGATACACTGATGACGATGTATATAATCACCATCTGAGAGATGAAAACAACCTCAGGTCGCGGCCGTAGTTTACTGAACCAAGGTCGTTTACCGTCAGCTTCTGTTTCTGTTGCAAAGACGGTAATTTCATCCACTTCATCAACGGCTTCCATAACACTAATTTTCGTACCTCTCTAGTTGTTGGTCTGCTATCCAGCTGTTGAATGAGGTCGGATAACCAAACCACTTGACTAAATATTCTTTAC